AAAAAACAAGAAAAAGTACCACAAAATTTTACGCTTAATTTATTATTATTGGGTGTCATTATGAATTCATATTACTACTTTAGTATTATTTTATTTAAAGAGAACTACCTACAAAGTATTTTAAATTTTCCTGCGACACCACTTTGATATTAAACTGACTTTGGTAAGTAACTAGATAAGTTGGCAACGCTGCGATATCTTGTTACAATTAGTGTCGTCTAAATTTCTTTAAGTTTGTGGCCAATACCCATAACAGTTACAGTTCTGAATTGTGGTACTTCAACCACAGCTAACCTACGCCTCCACGGCGTGGGGTCACGCGGCAAAAAGCCACTTAAAGTCATTACAGGCTGTGGAAAACATAGCCCTCCGCACGGCCACCGACGCGCCCTGGTACGTAAGAAACACTGACATATTACGAGACTTACAATACACAAACGCTACACAGACAATAAGACAAAACGCGGACAAACGGTTTGACGTAGCCGCTAGACATGACAATCCCCTCCTCAGGCAAGCCGTTGACTACGTGACCGACAAACACAAAAGACCTAAACAGCAACTTTTTGACCCTGGGAGACCACCCCAACGACACCCCCCCCTGCCCGCTAACCTTTTCTGTTTCAGAGACAGCCAGGATCAAGAAACGAAGACAATGACATACACACCCCTATACCCTCCTTACCCCTCCCCTCCCGCGCTAGCCTAAGGGCCACCTTAGCAAAGCGCATCCCAGGCTGCATAGCCGCACTACCCTACCCAACCATACCACACATAAACATGACACTACCCCCGGGGTTTACACAGACGAGCCGGCGAAGCAAGAAGAGCGCCAGAAGAAAGGGCCCTAGCCGGCGGGGCCCAGCCAGGACAAAAGGAGGTCCCACAAAGCGCCTACACCGGCCGCATTTGCGGTCGGGGTAGACGACGGATGGGGCCCACCTACGAAGGCTGTCCAGGCCTACACGAGATGAGGCAGGATAGAGGGATAATCCCCCTCAATCCCAAATCATTGAGGCCAATTTCTAGCCATGGAATAATGGCGCGAATTGAAGCTCTTGAACCATGTTTACAAAATTAAAAAATCTATCCCCGAGAAAATGGCGACGGGAGTTTTTATTGGGACACTGTATAAATCAGGTAATGCCTTGTTCAGTTCAAATTTAAGAATATTTATGTAAAATATTTGCCTTGCCTTTCTTTTATATAAATGTAAAATTCAAATAAAAATGTTACAGGTTTACAGGTATCATCTGAACAAATCAAGGTATTGAAATTCCAGAACAAATGTTTATTTTACAATTTCATCTAAAGTGTAAAGTAATGTTGTGAGACTTCAAGTGCTGATTATTCTTCAAACCAAAACCAAAACAAACATTTATAAGCAACATTTATAAAAAAAAAACAATACTAGGGGTTCCCTAATACAAAATGTTGACAGCAAAATCACATCAATTACAATTGCATGTTCGTAATTTTCAGGGTTGCGTGTGTATCAAGTGTTGGTACTTATATTTTGCCTTAAAATCACACGTGCATTTCCATTGCCTGAGTTCTGAGTGGTTGACTCGTTTCAACTGGCAATGGTTAAAGGTTAATAATTACAAGATCATACAAATCACACATGTACAATCACATCGGAGAATCTGGGCGTACTAACTGTCCACATACATCACACATACTTTTGGAAGATCTCAACTGGTGCAACTTTAGATTATATGTATATTTTGATTTAAAATTGCATAAATTATACTCATACATTGGAACTTCTGAAGGATTGGCATGTTTCAACTGGTGAATTTTAGTCTGCATTTAAAACTGGTCATAAAATTACATGAATCACACATGTACATATTATATTTTGAAGGATCTGTGTGTTCTAATTGGTAAAACTTAAGCTTGTTTTTAAATTTGGACATAAAATCACACGAACTACGTTTGTATATTTGTATATTTGAAGGGCCTGCATGATTTGCCTTATGGATCTTAATACTCTTTTTATACTTAGTCTCAAAATCACACAAATCACACGTGTACATCTGTACCTGTGAAGAATCTGCATGTTTCAACTTATGAAGGTTAATAGTTTTCTTGTACTTGGTCATAAAATGACACAAATCACACTTATACATCTGCACTTGTGAAGGGCTGGCATGTTTCAACTGATGGATCTTAAATCTGATTAATTTTGGTCGTAAAATCACACAAATCACACTTGTACACTGGTACTTTTAAGGGGTCAGCATGTATGAAGTAGTGGTTCTTAAGACTGTTCTTATATTTAGTCTCAAAATCACACAAATCACACTTGTACAACTGAACTTCTGAAGGGTCCATGTGATTTATCTTATGGGTCCTAAGACTGTCTTTATACTTGGACTTAAAATCACACAACTCACATGTGTACAATCGTATTTGCAAAGGGTCCAAATGTTTTAATTGGTGAAGGTTAAAAGTCCTATTGTATTTGGTTGTGAAGTCACATAAATCATAAGTATACATTTGCACTTGCGAAGAGTCAGTATGTTTTAACTGATGGTTCTTTACTTTGTAATTAAATTTAGATGTAAATTCACAAAAATCACACTTGTATATTTGCACTATTGAGGGATTTGTGTGTATCAAGCGGTGGTGCTTCAGATTGTTCTTATATTTAGTGTTAAAATCACATAAATCACACTTGTAGATTTCCACTTCTGAGTGGTTTGCGTGTTTCAACTGATGGCGATTAAGAGTGTTCTTATATTTGGTTGTAAAGTCACACAACTCACATGTGTACATTCGCACTTGCGAAGGGTCAGCATGTTTCAACTGATGATTCTTTACTTTGTACTTAAATTTTGATGTAAATTCACAAAAACTACACTTGTATGTTTGCACTGTTGAGGGATCCGTGTGTATCAAACGATGGTGCTTCAGATTGTTCTTATATTTGGTGGTAAAATCACATAAATCACACTTGTACATTTCCACTTCTGAGTGGTTTGCGTGTTTCAACTGATGGCGGTTAAGAGTGTTCTTGTATTTGGATGTAAAATCACACAGATCACAGTTGTACAAACGTACTTCTGAGGAATCCTTGTGCACTAACTGGTGGCGTGTAAAATTCTTCTTGTTTTTGCTCTGATATTCACACATGGCACATTTGTACAACTGCAATTCTGAAGAGTCTTCAAGTATAACCTGATGTTTTCTTATATTCTCGTCAAGTTTAGTTTCGCAATCACATTTATCATATGCACGTCCACAAATGTCACACTTGGACGTCTGTGTTTCAAATTGATTTTTATACACAGCTTCCTTATTTGGTTTTATTAAACTTATTTCTGGAGCACAGTTGTATTCGTTTGTTGCAGAAATGTCCTCCTGACCCAATCCATGGAATGAAGTGTCCAGAGACAAGTTACTGAAAAATAGTGATAACTTTCAGTATTATTTTCTTAAAAACCTACTAACAAATAATTTCCTTTCATAAGAACGTATATTTTATTATTAGCTCCCACATCTTTTTACTCTTTATTACAGTATTAAGCTAAATCAAATAATGTAACTAAGTATATAAAAAATACCTTAATTATTATCTTTTCAATTACTTTTTTTGCTATTAAAATATGTAAATGAAACAAAATATCGACATAAAGAAAGTTTTGTGAATTAGACAATAGGTAATCGATAATACAGGGTGGTGCAACCAATATGGGGTGGAAGATTACACCTGAACGACGAGGAATTATGAAATAATTTTTTGTCACGAGGTGCATAGTTAAGAGATCCATATTCTAAAAATATTTTCATTATACAGGGTGCACACAAAAGTCCGTGGCATACCAAACATATGTTTTTTTAAATTTGAACCCTGTATTTGAATCCTAAAATGAATTCTACCCATTACTACGATGCTTTTGATATAATGGTTGGTGAATCTAAAGTTTATAGTTTTAGAGAAAATGGCGCTTAAACTTGAAAAACTATCCCCAAATCAATCAAATTCCTCCCCCATCTAAAAAGGTTGTCAAAAAACGAAACCTAGAACAAAATGTACCATATCCTTGGGTATAATAATGAATCTTGACTGGTTCAAAAATCACTGACTAGTATACAGGGTGATGGAGCTTGACTATTTCACTCGAGTCAATTTTTTTAAATGGAACACCCTAAATTTTATTTACCCATGTTAAAGGCAATAAAACCAGCTTTCAAAAAATATGGCACATGATACCCTTCAATAAAATACTTTCTTAGGAAATCATCGGAAAACTTTGATTTTTCAGAAAACGACTGAAACAAACTGTGAAATAACGACCAAAACTTCAACATTTAGTAAGAGGGCTATGATGTCAGTAAACGGCAGCTTCTCATTCTTTATTGAACTGATTTTAAGAGAAAGGAAGGGTTACATTCACAAAATATACAGTAGTTAATAAATCAATAACAAATAAAGAAAATCAATACCATTATTACTAACGTTACAGAAAGATGTAAATGCTTTATAAGAGTTGTTCAATCAGGCCGCTATTTTGTTGAAGACATATTTCAAGCCGATGTATGACGGGACGTTCAACATTTCGTAAGGTCTGCTCTGTAATTTGACGGAAACATTGTTGAATCCATATTTTCGTATCATCTGCCGTTGTTGGAGACATTCTATATACTTGTTCTGAGACATATCCCCACAAAAAATAGTCCATCGGCGTCAGATCAGGGGATCTGGGCGGCCACACAATCGGGCCACCACGGCCAATCCACTGATTTCTCTTCCAATTGTTGTAAGTAATTTTGTACATTTATGTGAAAATGTGGCGGGACTCCGCTCCGTCATGTTGAAACCAGAAAGAATTTCTTAGTGCTAAATTTAAATTTTCTAAAAGCAGCGACAATTTATTTTCTAAAAAATTTAAATAGATTTCACCAGTAAGATGATCCTCGAAAAAATTAGGGCCTATCACGTGAATACTAATTATTCCACCCCAAACATTTATAGACCACTTATTTTGTTGATCAATTTGGCGAACCCAGTGAGGGTTTTCTACTGAATAAAAGTGCATATTATGGCGATTAATCACACTGTTACTTTTAAAATGCTGCTTGCTGATGTAATTCCATGTGATAGGCGTGATATTTATGCTGCTTCAAAATTCTCTTGAAGCTAGTGCGGTCTATACCTAGGCTTCTCTCAATTTCTCTAGTAGGTACTTGTTTGTGGAGTTTCTTGTAGTTAGTAATACTGCTAGTTGATTTTCTTCATTTGTTACTGGTTTATTAACTATTACACGTTTTTTGAATGCAACACTTCCTGTCTCTTCAGCGAAAAGCTTCAGGCCTTGATTTTTTCTCGTTTTCCGGATATCGTGCCGCATTACACTCTACTAGCTAATAACGGATTTCTTTGACATTCGTATAGAACTGATATCATATTGATCATTTCTTGTCTACTTAAACTCATTTTGAAAACCTACTTTTACAAAACTGTCAACTACTTAATTGTCAAAGACAAAATGTTACAATCGTCATAGCCCTCTTACTAAATGTTGAAGTTTTGGTCGTTATTTCACAGTTTGTTTCAGTCGTTCTTTGAAAAATCAAAGTTTTCCGATGATTTCCTAAGAAAGTAGGGGTAGGGTATTGAAGGGTATCATGTGCCATATTTTTTGAAAGCTGGTTTTATTCCCTTTAACATGGGCAAATAAAATTTACGGTGTTCTATTTAAAAAAATTGACTTTCGAGTGAAATAGTCAAGCTCCATCACCCTGTATACTAGTCAGTGATTTTTGAACCAGTCAAGATTCATTATTATACCAAAGAATATGGTATATGTTGTACTAGGTTTCGTTTTTTGACAACCTTTTTAGATGGGGGAGGAAATTGATTGATTTGGGGGTAGTTTTTCAAGTTTAAGCGCCATTTTCTCTAAAACTATAAATTTTAGACTCATCAACCATTATATCAAAAGCATCGTAGTAATGGGTAGAATTCATTTTAGGAATCAAATACAGGGTGTCCCATTTAAAAAAACATGTTTGATATGTTACGGACTTTTGTGTGCACCCTGTATAATGAAAATATTTTTAGAAAATGGATCTCTTAACTATGCACCTCTTGACAAAAAATTATTTCATAATTCCTCGTCGTTCAGGCGTAATCTTCCGCAACATCTTGGTTGCACCACCTTGTATGGGTGTCTCATCTAGGACGGAATCTTTTGTAGCTCTGGTATATTATAAACGCATTATGCAAGCTTGCAAGCAGTATTTTCAACAATCATTTTGCAGATTCTGTTATTTTTCTAATCAATTTTTATTTTTATTCATTTTATTATTGATATGAATTTTTACGATACAAGCTGATTTAATTTAATAAAATTTTTGAAAAATTTTGACTGCTATTGACGAGGAATTTATTCTATGTTTTTTAATTATTTTTTTTTAATATTTAGATAACTCATGTTAAACGATGTTCAAACATAATTTTCAGTGTATTTTGGTTTTAAAAATTACATTGCTATATTGTATTCATTTTTTAATGTCGAAATAGTTACAAAAAAAATAAAAATCTATTTATGATTTCCTAAACTATAAGAAACAGAGCCCACATTCCTTAGTAATATCGTAAAATTTGAAGTTCTGAGGTAAAGCAGAAGATAGGTTTTTTTCATACTTGAACAAATTGTGAAAACCACATCTCGTTAACATGTCTATATTTTTGAGGGTACTGCTACTGCCAATTTAAAAAAAAAAACATCAAGTAATACAAAAATGACAGAATGCAATATACAGGGTTTTCCATTTGAAAAAACAAAGGTAATGCTCACAAGGGATGAAATACCCTGTACAATCAAAAATAATTTTGTAATGTGAAGGACTCATTTTCATTACAAATTATAGACGCAGTTGAGATATATGTATCCATTTAAGATTCACCCAGTATATGCGATCATGTCTGTGAATAATGACAACTACAATATTAAAACTGAGACTCCCCAACTTTATTTATTAATTTAAAAATGACATACTTATCTCCATCTTCATCTTCTGATTTTATGTCGTTAATCTCAGTTTTAATTGATATTTCTTTATCTTCTAGTTTTATTGCAGTAGAGTCAATTTTAAACAACTCTTTTTCTTGTTCACTTTCTTCAGATTTTATAACGACTGCTTCAGTTTTAATGCAGGAATCTAATGATGGCCCCCAGAACACATAGCCAGGTACTCCTTCATTATTAACATCCTTCATTTTTTTCTGTACTTCCAAGCAGTTCTTTAAAAAATTGCTGTGGGTGCCAAGGGATACAAAACATTGCTTGCACATGACAGGATCTTTGACAATATTGAGTTTCTACAAAGTACTCTTCAATATATCAAAAATATTTTGACATACTTTTGTGTATTGAGAAAGTGTGTGTTGTTATACTTACTACTTCTGGAATATATATCTCTATCATATCAGCTTCTACTCCATGTATCAATATAAATTCACCCTCTATTAGCTGCATACATAACCTACAAACTTTATGTTCGTGTAATAGGTCGTTTAATTGCAAGTTTTCTAATTGTTTATTTTCTTTTTCTTTTGCATAAATCTCTCTTAAGTCAACTGAAAATCCTGTTTCAACATTAACATAAGGAATTATGGTAGTATCGGTATAGAGGCACATCAACTTAAATTTAAATGCCTCCAGTGTCTTTAGTGAACAATCTTTACACATTATATGTTTGTTATCATAATTCTGAAAGTTAAATATATTATAAAGTACAAGTGCATGACGCAGAAATATTTAGGCAGTAGGAAAACGCATTGTCTGACCAAATCCTTGAATGTTATATACTTCTACTTTTTACTTTTAAATATATAAAGTTGCCAGGCAAAATAATTAAATACAGTTATTGAACCTACCAGTTTCAGTAGAAGAACGTCCAACATATTTATTGTAACGTCTTCTATCAGTTCAAAATGTTCATCTCTTACAACACTGAGGCACAACTTACAATGCTGTTTCCAGAAATTTTCCATTTTTAATTCTTTTTCTTTGACACTAAATTCTGATGAAAGTATTTTTAAATGAAAATATTTTATATAATTTCGTCATTGCATTTCATCTAGGTATCAATTTGATTTTTACGCATAAATAAATAAACCATAAACCTAACTTTACCATTTTTTTTCTCTTTACCATTAATTACCACAACACATCATAGAAAATATAGTACTAACACTACTAACGTCGTAGAATGAATAATGAAATGTCCCTAATATTGCCAATAAACCGCGAAACAGCGCCACGTAACGTTTTGGAAACTTACTACTACTTAGTTCCTAATGAGTAGGCAACACTTTATACTTTATGAACTGATTACAGCGCCATCTATCGTATGCAAACGACTTCTCACTTATATCCCTATATTATTTTAAAAATTTTAAAAGTAAACCCTTATACCTTATACAAATAGGAATAGTCAAGGGTCAATACTTTTGAGAACAGATTATTTAGTTAAACAGAAAATGTAGCGAAAAACTAATATTCAGTACTTTTCTAATTCACTTCTGCTTTGATAACGAAACTAGAGGTTTCAGAAACGTCATAGTGTTATTGTGATGTGTATTTGTTTTTCCAGTGCGTAACCAGACTTATACATGTAGATGTATGTCTCTGGCATCTCACTATTAGGCAAAAGTTTTCAATATTGACACTTGACTGTCCCTATCGGTACAAGGGTTTATTTTTCCAGTTTTTTTTTTTTCAAACTATGGCAAAATATCCAAATTATAACAAACATTTATAATGCCACAAATAAATAGACAATTTCTTCTTATTTATTATTTTATTGCATTACAGTATTTTTCAAATTTTGACATTTGCCAAGATATACTTAGTAAATGGTTTTGATAAGGAAATAAAACATTTTTTAATAATTTTAAGTTTATTTTGTATCTACAGGAAAGCCTAATTGATTTATACAGAATGTACTGTTAAAACAATTTCTTGTTAAGTATTTAATTGTAAGTAAAAATGACAACAATTTAATTCATTTGCTTCATAAACTTGATAAGTTGGCAAGTAAGCTGTAAAAATATAAAAATTATGCATGAACTGTTATAAGAATCTCACTTTCCGGAGAGTATAACCGAATATTTGTACAATATTGGGTTAAATTCAATAGTTCATATAGTTTGGAACTCTCAAACCATAGAAAACTTAATATTAACACTATATTTTCTGTCTCAAACTGAATAAAGAAAGCAATTCACCACAATCTATTGTACCATTAAAAATTTTGTAAGCATCTAAGTATCAAATAAGGTTTAATAAAATATTAGTTGGAGTTTATATATCATACACATAATTATTTTTATCTATATTTAACTTAAATAATATGTAATTACACATTTTATGTGGACTGTTTCTAATCAATTAATATAAGTAACATGAGTATGAGTGTTCCACATAATGTTGGTAAAGATATGTGTTTGGTTTTTAATAAAACTATACAGGGTGATTCACAACTTATCCAAAAAAATTTGGGAATAGATGCAGCATGAGAAATGGAATCAATATCGTAAAAAAATTGTTTGTAAAATCCTTAGTTTCCGAGAAAAAAAATATTAAAGTTATAGAACATTCAACCACTACATAGCTGGACAACTGTAGTCTCTAGCGTCATTCGCCACGTGGCCTCAGCGACTCGGAATACTCAATTAGGATTTTGCAATCGTCGTTGCGATATTTACTTGTTATCTATGGTGATTACAACAGGTTTTTAGTAGTTAGTGTCAAAAATGGGTAGTTTGTGTCAAAAATGGTTTGCGTGTACTCGGAGTTCATGAACATCGTTTTAATTTATGGTGAAGCATTTGTGTTATGGTGAAACAAGACATTTGTGTTAGTTCGTAGAAACTGAGTACAACGGACCCAAATTAATTTTATTAATTAATAAAGGCAAAAGCAGTTGAATTTGCCGATATAAAATAGGTGCAATAAAATTCTATTTACATATTTCTTTCATTGCGAAAGTTTTGTCAGTTTTTATCACACCGCCATGCCGGTCGCATTGTACTAGGTCAGGTTTTACAGTGGACCAGTTTCCAGTGCCGTGCAGAAGTGTATTTTTAAATCATTTCCGAACTGCCCTTTTTGATTTTTTCTTTACAAAATTGTATTTGTAAGGGTCCCCTGTACATCCAGAATTTTTTTTTTGGATAAGTCCTGATCACCCTGTATAGCTTAAAACTTACACATCAAATTCCCAGTATAATATAATAACAAATAGAAAACTCTTAAGCACTAAATAATTATAAACACAATTCTTGCAATACTATAATTTACAATTTTTAGAGGATAACCAAAGAAACCAAAGATAACGAAAGCCAAATTTCAAATACGTGCAAAGTCCAAACTGCATTACCAACCAACCCAAAATGACAGGATTAGCATTCTCTGCGCCATCTTTTATTTTGGAAGCTAACTAACGTGTGACGCCATGACAGTTCTGTTATTCATATGTTACATTTCATTCTATGTTAATATGAAGTTTTTTATGCCACACATTAACTACCATAGAGCTATAGATAAAGTATATATAGACAGTTTGCCCTAAGTCACGTGACCTAGAATGCAAATCGCACTATTGATTTGAAAAGGAACTCTATTATTTCTTGTTAGAAAATTGACTCGTTTTGGTAATAACAACAATTAAGTGTTAAAAATATGAAAATATTTATTTTTAAAGACAATAAGCGTTATTAAATTTTTATACTTTATAAAACAATATTTGTACATAAAATGTTTTTTAAATATGAAATAAAGAGAAGGTAGTACTAGTTTATTATTTTATTCAAATAGATAAGGACACAACTACAATTCTTCAAGAAATAATTGGTGAATATTAATATTAATAAATAAGGAAATAAATACTCTTTATTTTTATTTCTGCTACCATCTAACTTTAATAGATAAATAAAATACGTAATATAAAACGTTTATAAACCCGACCTCCACTTAAATATAACTACATATATTTTTGAATAAATTTTGGTTAAGTAAAAAAAATAAATTATTTTTGGTTCCACACATATAACATATTTTAATAAATGCAGACTTACATTCCTAACATAATAGATATAGATCAGAAATGTAGTTCATACCTTCGAGTATATACTATACTGGGAGGTAGCATGCCATTGCGAAAAGTGTGGCTGAGTGTGTGAGAGAGACAGACAGTATCTCAGTACTTGCTGTCTCACTCTACGTGATTGGTTGGAAATGAATGCTCGCGCTCATTGACTCCCGCAGTTGAAGCGAAGGGCATTTGATAATTGTATTCTTTTTCTGGTTAAGTTATATCTTTCGCAATATAAAAATTTCAAAAACTTCACACATTGTCTATAAGTTCATATTTTATAATAATTCTAAAATAGACATCAAATCCAAGATCGATCCCACCAAGGAATATTAAAGAACCTTTAAGCTTATATATTCTGAAAACATAATATACAATTACCAATAATAATATCTAATACAGAATGAAGATCATATGCTATGTAATCCTCATATAAATTTATTATCCAATAATACACACGTCTTTTATAACTAGACAACAGTATAAAACTATCAAATTGACTTTATATGCTTTATATGGGATGCTTTGTTTTTGCATTTCTGAACACTTGAATACAATTTATTAACATAGCACCAAGTTTCAAGTTTTCGGATTTGACACTGTATAAATACGCAATCCTTTAAAGAGCTCGCACTTTGATACATCTTTAAATCATATGCAAATAATACCATATTACAATCGATAACATTGGTACATCATTGACGAAAATTAAAAATAAGAGAGATCCTAGGTTCGATCCTTGAGGAACCCCAGATGCAGAACAGAAATATTTTTAATTAAATTGTATACTGCATATTGCACTCTTTTACTATATGATATAAATATTGTTAAGAATTTATCATTAAAATAGCTTTAGTTTATTGACAAAAATCCCATGATCTATTCGATCGATGGCCTTAGAAAACACAGTGTAGATTGTATTCACCTGACCCTGGTTACCAGTAACATTAGAAACATATAGGAAAAATATTTCCAAATTTATGATGTCTTCCATAAAAACCAGGGCAATGTAATATTTTGTCTATGGTGGTAAATTTTATCATATGAAAATATCTTCAAATATTTCACGAAGTTACATAAAATGGGTTTGAAGTTCGGAATTAACGAAAGATCACTTGATATAAGCACAGGACAAAAATATATGTTACATACTACAAGCAAATACATTTCCTACATTTGTCAATGTAGTTATTTGATTTGTTTAATCTATTAATAGCAATTAGATTATCAGAATCAGTAAACTCACTAATGTTCAAATTAGGAAAATGGAAGTTAGTTAGGAATTGTTGAATCCAGCCATGCATCAAATTTTCAAAAATAATCAGACGTCATTTTATGTTTTTAGACAGTATGTTTCCACTGGTGGGACTTAATATGACCTTTATATTTGGACTTATAATCACATGAATCACATTTGTACATTCGCACCTTTGAAGGATCGGCATGTTTCAACTGGTGGGTCTTAAGACTGTACTTATATTTGGTTTGGAAATTACAAAAATCACATGTGTACGTTTGCACTTTTGAAAAGTCTGTATGTTTCAAATGATGGCGTTCAAGTCTGTATTTAGTTTTTGTCAAAAAATCACATAAATCGCATCTGTATATTCGCACATTTGGAGCGTCAGTATGTCTTAATTTGTGAAGTCTAAATCTGTGTTTATGTTTGGTAATATAATCGCATGAATCACACTTGTATATTTCCGCTGTGTGTATCAGCTGGTGAAACTTTAGATTGTTTTTATATTTGGAATTAAAATCACACATATCACATGTGTACATTGGCATTTCGGAAGCATCCGCATGTTTCAACTGATGAAGACTAAGACTGTGTTTGTATTTCGATTTAAAATCGCACAAACCACACTTGTAAAATTGTACCTCTGAAGGATCCACATGTGTCAAATGATGACGCTTAAGTATGTTTTTATATCTGGTCTTATATTCGCACAAATTGCATTCATACATGTCTATTTTCGAGGGATCTGCGTGTCTCAGCTGGTGGATTCTAAGACCATCCTTATATTTGGTTGTAAAATCACACAAATCACACATGTATGTTCGCACTTCATGTAAGTTGGTGCTATATGACCCTTCCTTTTCAGATTTTCTTAAATGTCCTTTAGGCACATGCTTGTTTTTTTTTGTCTCAGAAATTTCCTTGTGTTCCAAATTGTGAAATGAAAGATTTGAAGGTCCGTTACTGAAAAATAGTATGTAAGTATAAATAATTCAAATTTTATACAGGGTGTATTTAAATGGAGGGGCACAAATAATACCAGAGATTCCTTGGGTGAAAATAAGTCGATTTAACCTAACATACCTATATCCCAAGTCGCATAATAAAAAAGATACAAAGTGTCAAAGTGAAAAATAAAAAATGGTTTTTCCTTAATAATTTCTATAATTTTAGTCAGAAATGTTTCAAATTTTCAACAGAAAGACTTTTTAATAATGGAAAAAATAATATAATAATGATTTTTGAGTGTCGAGTACGAGGCGCCCTCTGCAGGCAACGTTATTCATTGAATATGTAGTAACTTTTTTGTCAACCCCCATATACAGCTTTTAGTAACAGAATATGAAATATTGGACTTTTTTTAACAAAAAAGGTATACTTATTGAAAATGGCTAAAGCCAACCGTTTAGAAGATATTTTTAATTTCATAAATTAGTGTTACGGATTTATACCTCCACAAATACCAAGGTACAAACAGACACTTTTGTTAATAAATTCAGAACGCATTGCCTCACAGTAATTATTAGTTGTGTTCTGTATTTTAAAATTCGACCAAAAGGGGGCGCAGAAATCAACTGAGACATTATTTTTCTTGTTTTAAATTTACTTTACTATTTTTGCGTACCTATTATTTTAGCGTGCGTGAATACACTTATTGCATAATTTCTATTTAATTGTTTTTTCGGTGTCTTTATTAAAACACACATTTTCTTGTGTATGTGAAATTATTTAAACTCTGAGTTAAAGTAATCTCATGAAATAACAGTTCAGCTGAAAAAATATTGCAAAATAGTTACCTATTTATTGGTACCTAGTTTAATAATAATTATTAGCTGCTGCAAAAATTCTTTGACGAAGCATCTCCACACTATCAATAAGGTTGGAATAAACAACATTTTTTAAGTGAACCCATAAAAAATAGTCCATGGGTGTGAGATCCGGTAATCGCACAGGCCATTTGACTGGTGCATCGTTCCCTCGACCTATCGATCTCTCAGGAAAATTTAAATTTAACCATTGTCTAACAGCTACTAACCATTGCCTAACAACTATGAGCAAGAGTTCCGTCACGTGCGTACCACATGTGTTCACAGATAGCTAGTGGCACATCTTCAAGCAATATTGGGAGTTGTTCATTTAAAAATCTCAAATATTCAACTCCGCCGAGATGCCGAGGAAGAATAAACAGACCAATAAGATAATTTTCTACGATTCCTGCCAATACATTTAAACTAAAATTATGTTGAAATTCGGATGTACAAACTTGGTGAGGATTTTTGTCAGACCATGAGTGAAAATGACGCTTAATCACCAAACAAAATACTGGATAAAATATTTCTGTTTTCCATTGAAATGTTCATATACCATTGACAAAAATCTATACTTTTAGGTAAACCCGCAGCAGTCAATTTCTGCACAGGTAGATAGTAGGGGTATAAAAGATTATCATTTGCAATTTTCTAAATCGTAGTATATGAAACGTTATACTGTGTCGCCAATTTTCTGGTACTAGTTTCAGAATTCTGATCGTGTAAATTGACAAGGACAACTTCTTCAAGTTCTACATCGCGAATAAGATGTCTTCTGCCAGTACCTACAGGACGAGGTTGAATGTGTCCGTTTCCTGAAGTTTTTTTTTACCGACGCAAACGTTTTTCTAGCAGGAACACGACCATTGGGATAACTGGCATGATAAAGTCGTACAGCAGCAGCACACTTCTTGTAACATTTAAAAAATACTTGCAACATATCAACATACTCGTCATTAGTATACATAATTTGTTATTTTATTCAATTCCAAAACTATTTAATATCTAGGACGCAGGTAAATAGTGACTAAAATCAATTAACACTTTAAACTAATACTTCAAAATTGCAATTTACGAGTATTATCAACTGACATTTATCTACTCGATTTATTTAATTTATTTAAGCAACTCGAACCTTGGTATTCGTGGAGGTATAAATCCGTAACACTAATTTATTAAATTAAAAATATCTCTTAAACGGTTGGCTTTAGCCATTTTCAATAAGTATACCTTTTTTGTCAAAAAAAGTCCAATATTTCATATTTTGTTACTAAAAGCTGTATACGGGGGTTGGCAAAAAAGTTACTACGTATTTAATGCATTACGTTGCCAGCAGAGGGCGCCTCGTACTCGACACTCAAAAATCATTATTATATTATTTTTCCCATCATTAAAAAATCTCTCTGTTGAATATTAGAAATATTTCTGACTAAAATTATAGAAATTATTAACCCTTTCACTGATCCAGACGTATATATTCGCTAAAAATTTATAGGGCTCAAACTGCTCCAGACGGATTAATTCGCATGAATAGCTAAATTGGATCAGGCTGCTCAAACCGTATATATTCGCAACCATGCACATTGTGACTCGGTTATTGCAATTGGTAAGGCGAATTTTTGCGGGCAAGCTTATACCGACTGTGACAAATATTTTTATGGAAAGAGGTATTGGTAATAATACCAAGATTGTTCATGTTTCTTTCAGTTTCTATTTAGTACATATACTGTATTTTATTCAAAATAAAATCGTAAAATTTATCGTAAATCGTAATTTAACACAACATAATGTAAAACTATAAGTGGTCTAACTGCTCCAGACGTATATATGCGCACGCGATAAACTTTCGCGCACGACGCGGTAGCTACATTCAGACGTATTGCGCAGCGAAAGGGTTAAGGGAAAAACCATTTTTTATTTTTCACTTTCACACCCTGTATCTTTTTTATTATGCGACTTGGGATATAGGTATGTTAGGTTAAATCGACTTATTTTCACCCAAGGAATCTCTGGTAACATTTGTGCCCCTCCATTTAAATACACCCTGTATAGTAATGGGCCTGCATATAATTTTCCAAAATTTAAATTTAAAATGTTTTCTATAAATATTCACTTTAAGTAACTTTTTTCAGCAAGCTCTGGTTACAATTACAAAAAAAGTATAAATTATCACAAGGCAGCAGTATTTCTTTTTTGAGCAATTTTGGATATTGCAAACCAAAACAAGTATGCAGCAGATGAGTTATGTTTGATACTTAGGAGTTAAAACATGGACTTACACCCCTTTAGATTTGGAATTTAATAAAACGGCAGCTAACTCTCTTCCACATTGGCGACTTACCAGTGTGAATTAGCAGTGCTGCCAAGTTCCTCTGCTAAATTCCAAGTCCGAAAGCGGGCTAAAATTTAAATGTGTACAAATCACATCCGAAAACAGTAAACCTATATTCATTTATAGCTTGCTTCCACATACTTTTTCAAGATAATCAACATATTACTATGACATACGAAATGATAGGACCTATCAAAACTTTTGAGTTAATTTAATGATCATTAAATTATTCACATTAAAATGGAATTTTTATAGAGGAAATGACTGATATACACTACAGTTACGGTTTGGCAGATGACAAAATATCTTTAGGTCAGACTATAATAAAAATATATTCAACGGATTTATTGACACAAGAGACTAGTACTTTGAAGAAAAGTGATAGCGATGATGAATTATGCATGTGGTAATTTTAGACGATGTTGAAGATGATTCAACGACAAGTGGCAAGAATTTATAATATGAATTAAGTGGCAGTTTGGTAAACTCTTAAGAAAAATTATTTACAGGAAGACTTCGGCAAGATTATAGTACAGTTTAAGTGTTGTGTCATTAGATATTAATCACTTTGTACTAATTAATGTTTCGGTACATACTTCGTATTGAAAATCCTAATTCGACCTACCTGCAGCTTAGTTCGATATTTTAAGAAAAATGATGAGTTCAAAATATTTAACGTTACTGTAAAGAGAGAACGCATTACGTGGTCGTGGTCCTGTTGCATCGCGGGCCGTTCTGGGCTGAGCTGATCGCGGTCTTCTACAACATCAATTGCATTTGGCAAATGCACACAATCCTGCTCGCTATCTCCTTTAAATAGTTGGAGCGTCCCTGGGTGCTTCCCCTTTAACTCTAATATTGTGTTTTTTTAAATTTCTTTATCACTTATTACCTACTGTAGTGACTATGAAAAGATTCTAAATTCCGAAGCTTGACTTTAGTACATTCTACTGCTATTAAAAAATAATTTGTAACCCAAAATAGGGCTTTGCCTCATACTTCAATAATCTAAAAAGGAATTCGCTCTACGCTTATAAGCTAAAAGAGAGTTTTGCCCCCCCACTTAAAAGGAGTTGGGCCTAGCCCCACACAAAAAGACGCACAGTAATATGGACTAACTAGCCAGATGAACCACAAACCAACACCCGACAATAAAATAGAAAACTTAAATAGATTTGTGATGATTTTGATATCATTAATTCTTCCTGTACCAAATGTTATGGTTTTATTTTTGGTTTTCATAAGCAGGCCCATTCCTAGATACCGTACTTGTGAGCTTAAAATACCACAAGTTCTAAATGACTTACCCATACTCATTATCTTGCAATGTTTCTTTATGTTCAAGTTTTGGTGTAGTAGAATAAGTTTCCAACAATTCTTCTTCCTGTTCACTTACTTCAGACTTTATATCAATCTCCTCGGATTTTATGTACGGAACTAATGATGGCATCCTGATTAGGCTGTCACAGGCATCTGCATTATGAATACTCTTAATTTTCTCTTCTAGTTCTAAGCATTTCTTTATGAAACTACTATGGGCACTGAAGGAATCAAAACATGGTCTGCAAATAACTTGATCTTTCACAATATTGAAGTTCTACAAAGTACACTTTTTAGAATTTATATACACAAGGTTCAAACTGAAAAATGTGTGTAATTGTAGATGATTTGAGGTGGGACATACAGATTGCAACTTAAGCATATAAAACTATTTGAGGTGATTTCTTGGACTATTTTAAGAAAAGTTCTTATATGAATCTGTGAACTGAAAAGACAGCTTTTGTAACACACAATGTTAAGGTTTTTGAAACGTGTAATATTTATGTAAATTTTCTTGAAGATTGATTAACGTAAATTAATGGAACTTGTGCCAATTACTTAGCTAAGTAAAGGTAAAAATTCATTGAATTAAAATTCCATAAATGCAGTTGATTCCTAATTGTATTTAACCCTTTCACTGCTCCAGACAAGTTTATTCGCTAAAAATTTATAGGACTCAAACTGCTCCAGATGAATTAATTTGCTTGAATAGTTAAATTGGATCAGGCTGCTCAAACTGTACATATTCGCAACCATGCGCATTAGCGACTCAGTTGTTGCAATTGGTATAGGGAATTTTTGCGGGCAAAGCTTATAGCGATTGTGGCAATTATTTTTATGGAAGGAGGTACTGGTAATAATGCCAAGAATGTTCATCTCTTTTTCAGTTTCTATTTAGTATGGCTGTTGATATATTGTATTTTATTTAAAATAAAATTGTAAAAATATCTAGAAAATTGACAGAAGAAGAACTGGAAGAAATTTTAGCGAGGAGCGACAAGTTTGAGATTGAGGAGCGTAGTGATGGATGCTTTATAATAAAATATTAATAACTAAACTATTACAATTATTTTGAAACCTTTAAAAATATTAATTTAATGTAACACATAATAAATAAATACAGCCTAATTTTTTAAATTTTTGCTTTGACAGAACTAGTTTTTAAAATTTACAATAATTTGTTTCACAGTATTCAATGATGGCTTCCGCTTTTGCGGATATCGAACAGCAAATGTATTCCAAGTTCTTGTTAAAACTTTGTCACATTGTCCATAAATAATAAACAAATTAAAATAATCTTCATTTGATTAATTTAAACGCACTGGCATAATTAGAATTATAGATGTTTATAAAGAGTTTATATTTTAATTTAGTTTAATAACATAACACACAATAATATTTGACACAAGCCAAGTCACTTTTGTTATTTTTGACATGTTTATGTCCAAGGCAATTTTGATAACACTTCAGATATGATGAAAACTGCCAAAATAGTAGAAATTTGCAAATATCTCCAAAAGTAGTAATCGTAACCCTAACAATGCTTATATGGCTTGAAATAGAATTTCAATGTGTACAAGAGAGAGCAATAAAATACAGCTAAGAAAGTTATAGCTGTTTTACTTTGCCAAAATGTAACAGCGAAAATGAAATGCTTAGTATATTTTTGAATTTAAAGATATACCATAAGTTAGCATCGTCTAAGTTCTTTACGAATACCAAAAATCAGCTTGATATCACGTTCCTGAAAAGAGTTACTAGCATCTCCGCGGACCCTTACATCTGTCAAATTTTTTTTTAAATTAATATCTTGAAATCTATTATGCCTAGCCATAGGGAATATTGAATAAAAGGACCCTAAAATTTCATGTAGAATCCGAAAATGTAATAATATATAGGGTGTTCCATTTAAAATAACGAAGTTGGTGTGGACTTCTGGTATAATCAGCAGTGCTGGACAGTTCTAGACATTTTAGTTGTGTTCGCCCAAGGGACTTTGCCATATTGTCAAGTTTTCAAAATTTTCGGATGCGCACTTTCCTAGATATCAATCAATACAGTTCCCGGTAGAACACCCTGTATATGAATTGTAAACTATTACATTTACTTAGTTAAATTACTAAACCAAGCTTCATCAGTCTATGTCAAACAATATATTATTTACATATAAATGGTACATTTTCCAAAAACTTTAACACCCACAGTTTCAAAACTAAGTTGATTATAACATACACTCACACAAACTTTTCTTCTTAAAAGGATCCAGGGACCTATCAACTTAAATATTTTGTACTTACTTAAGTTACACATTGTATTTTTGTATATCGTTTTATATGTATGTACTTACTATTTCTGGAATAAACTTTTCGATCATATCAACCTCCATTTCATGTACAGATATAAATTTGTCTGTTATTAGCTGCATACATAGCCTACAAACTTTATGATGCTTTAATGTATTTATTGATTGTGTGTTTTCTGTTTCCTTTGCATAAATCTCTCTTAGGTCAATAGAACATCCTGATTCATCATCATGGGCGTAAGCAATTATAGTATCATTAGTGTAGAGACACACTGTCTTAAAATTGAAAGCTTCTGTGACCTTCAGTGAACAAGCATTACACATTATATGCGTTTCGTCAAAATTCTGAAAATCAAGTAACAGAAAATAAAAATTAAAACTAAGACTTTACACCTTGTTCAGTCAACAATTTTAAAAATGTATATCTAACAGTATGTTCACCTACTGGGAAATCTGTTTCAATGATCCTAGCTGATAGTTCTAAATAACTGCTGAATGATGTTGGTGTTGTCTTGTCAAAAATTACATTTAGAAGATGCTCTGAAATTATTTTTTAATGTAAGATAATGAACCTACCAATTTCAGTAAAAGAACATCTAAAATATTCCTCATCACTTCATTTATTTCCTCAAAATGTTCATCACTTACAACACCGAGGCATAACCTGCAAATCCTTTCCCCAAAACCACTCATTTCCACAATTTATTTTTGATACTGAATGTATAACAATAACTCTCTGTAATCTATGATAACTATTTTTTTCCCAGATATTGAATAAACTGTATAAACAATAAACATAACCTTATACAAGATAATGACAAGACACAAGAGGTGCGTTTTGTTGGAGTGATTCCGGAATTGATTTATGCAGAATGGGCGTTTTATTGCAAGGATATTCTGAATCCGGTGGCAACTTTTTCTTCTGTGGTTTGGGACGGAATTATTAGAATTAAGTGGTGGGGAGATCAAATCTGTGAGGTTACTAAGGTAGCTGGTGTAGCATTGGCCCCAAGGAGACTAGATCTCCATGATTGGCCCCATGGAGACTATCTAGTCTCCCTGATTGGCCCGTTGAGATTCGGCATCTGTCTTATGTCAGATTTGAATCTAATCAGTTCAGAGCGCGCGCCATTATTCCATGGCTAGAAATTGGCCTCAATGATTTGGGATCGAGAGGGATTATCCCTCTTTATCCTGCCTCATCTCGTGTAGGCCTGGACAGCCTTCGTAGGTGGGCCCCATCCGTCGTCTACCCCGACCGCAAATGCGGCCGG